CATTAGGCGGATTTTGGATCAGATTTTGAGGAGAAATGAATGAGATGGAGGAAAGAGTGGGAAGAGGGAGAATGTGTGAGCTCCTCCTGCAAATTGTGAGTTTTTTGTGGGTCCTGCAAAACAGTAAAGAAGGAATTGAAAGTGCGCGTATCGCGCACAAGGATGCCCAGTCAGGTGTGTGCAATGCACGCGCTAGCTGATGCGTCAGGTTCTTTTTGTTTTTGAAAAGTCTGTTTTTTGCTTTTTTAATTTCCTTTTTCTTATTTTGTTTTGTTTTATTTTTTTCTTTTTATTTTTTTTTATTTTTTATTTCTTCCCATTTTCTCTTTCCTAATCATACATACAAAATTTTCTCAACAATCCCACTATTGAGGATGCCCTAATATATTTTGATAATGTGTCCAACCTCGACAAACTCCCCCACCCGACACCGAAGTTACCATCCCTTGTGGGGATTCCCTACATATCTAACCTCTCCAATATTTCAATCTCGTAGCCATGGGGGCCCTTGGCCAAAAGCTTCACTTCACTGACCTTTAATGATGACTTAATTTGACTCACACATCTTGAGGCCACCACGGCTGACCTTGAGGTCACGAGATCTCTCGTAGGCTCGGGGGTCGAGGTTCATGCTCCCGACTCGGGGAGTAACGTTGACGAACCCTTTGATAATTTTTTTCCAATAAAATTTGATAGAGGATAATAGGGGGTGATTGGTTAAAATTAACAAAAAAAAGTTAATAATTCTTTGAAAATTAAATAAAATTTGAAGTTGTCAAGGACTTTGTGGTCCAATGACACCAAGTTACTCCCTTAAGTGGGAGGTTGTGGAATCAAGCTTCAGTGGATGCGATATTGTCTCTTTGTGTTTCAATTGGTTGATAAAGTAGTTATAAACCTATACTTTTTAATATAATAACAACATGTTTGATTCAAATAGGCCTGCAATGGAATGACATTCTCGGGGAACAAGCCTATTCCGTTTGGTAATGCTTTTTGTTCCGGGAAATGAGCTACTCCCATTGCAAGGGGAATATCGATTCCAAGGCCCCCTGATATTAGGCTATTATTGAATTCTCATGAATAAGCTAAATTTGCTATTTCCTATTTGACCCCAATCACATCTAAAATTTATTTAAGCTTTTTTTTCTCCCTATTGTAACACTTCTTTATCACTAGTACAACACTTACATCTCTTTCAGGTTCAAACTCTTCAACATTCACAAGATATTTATCTGATTCTATGGTGAATGTATTGGTGCTTAATTTTTATATATGATTTTTTCTATTTATTAGATTTTGCTTATATATATATATATATATATATATATATATATATATATATATATATATATATATATATATATATATATATATATATATATATATATATATATATATATATATATATAAAGACTAGTCTTTAGGTGTGGATGTAACGATGTGTGGTCTAATTGTGATTGTTGATTTTATTATATCTGATGGTTATAATTTTTTTGATATATTTATTATTTGAAGCTTTTTTGAGTGGTGGACAGTTTTTCAATTAAATTCCTTAATTTAAGAGTCCACATGTTTAATCATGCCCGCGCAATTAAAAATTTGGATGGTGTGGATTAAACCACATAATCACACCTAAACACTAATTCTCATGGGTAGAAGAACACACACACACACACGTGTGTGTGTATGTGTGTGTGTGCGCGCACGCGCGCGAAGCTTCTCCTGGGTGAAACGTATAGATTAATCACAACCTTTGATCTTGTCAAAATCAATAGTCCAAAATGAAGAACAATTAAAAAAAAACGCGGTGGCATTATAGTTATTTATGTAAGCTCACAGCTTAAGGTGCGTAAGTTTAAAGCTTAATGTATATAAGTTCAAAGCTTAAGGTGCGTAAGTTTATAGCTTAAGGTGTGTAAGTTTATAGCGTTAGGCGCCTAAGTTTAAAGTTTAAGTTGCTTAAGTCTAAAACTTAAGGTGCGTAAGTTTATAACTTAATGTGTGTAAGTTTATAGCTTAAAATACGTATGTTTAAAGCTTAATGTGCGTCACTTTCTAGTTTAAGGCAAAAACTTGTGTGAGACCGTCTCACGAGTCTCAATCCGTGAGATCAATTGAGACCCGTGAGATGGTCTCACACAAGTGTTACCTTATGTTTAAAGGGTAAGGTGCATTATTTTCTAACTTAAGGTGCATCAGTTTGAGACACTTGATCATTTGCATCCATGTTGTCAGTTTCCTTCAGTTTGAGCTTGTTGGTGGGGAGTTGACGCGACGGGCACCGTTCCGTCCGTCCAATCCCGTTACATTACTAAGACTTATGATTATGTGTATTTATTCCGTCCACAGTATCTGTATAGAACTACAGTCAATAACACCTCCACCGAGGCTCGAACCCACAACTTCCCATGTGGGAGTTCAACTTGGTATTATTGGACCACAAGGTCCTTGATAAATTTATGTGTATTGTACTATACAGCTCTGTACATTGTGAATTTCAACTCCATATCTCAGTCAACATAAATGATGTTTCTAAAACTTGTGTTTATGTGTATTCAGCTATATAGTTCTGTACAATATGAATTTAAATTCCATACCTCACTAGATAGAAATGATATTTCTTAGACTTGTGTTTATGTGTATTATGTCAAGTGTTTATGTGTATTCAACTATACAATTTTGAGCAAATTACACTTTTGGTCCTATGACTATAGGGGCATGTTAATTTTAGTACATGACTTTTAAAACTAACAATTTAGTCCTTTAACTATGTTTTTTTTGGCAGATTTGGTCCTTCCGGACAAATCACAGGTGGAAATTGGCCGAAAAAACATTTGTCATTTTAAATTAAATATTAGGAGGGGTAAATTAGTCATTTTAATTGTTAAAGAACGGCGTTAATGATTGCTGGGGATACTTCGGAGAAGTTTACCTGCGGGTTCCAGTGCGATTTTTTTGTTTCCTCGGCCGCGCGTGTCACCGAGGTTGTTCTTGATCGCTGGGGATACTCCAGTTCACTCCCGCCTGTTTATTGGAACCTCCCATACCTTCAAATGCTTGATCTCTCTGGGAATTACTTCGACGGCCGGATTCCGGCGTCACTCGTGAACCTGATTCGCCTCCGGCGACTCAGTCTGTCGCATAATTTCTTGTCGGGGATCCATGCCCAGAGCGGAGTTAAACCCTAATAAAGCCATTGCGAGAAGCCAGTCGATGAACTCCATGGATCCTCTGAGGGAGATGAAGTCCATGAAGGAGAAGAATCTGCGAGCTTGCAGCTTTCGCGGATTTCCCACTTACTTGGAGCTTGAAGATGAGAATTTCTTCATCCTGAGCTTCGAGTATGGCGGCAAAATTTCCACTCATCTACGCCGCCGCACATGCCGGATTTGCAGAGTTGTGTGAAAGGGAGGGTGTTTGTCGATCAATGGCATTTGCCGGAAGGCCATCAACTGGTGTCGGAGTCGCCACCGTCAAACCGATCCCGAGAAGCCAAGTTCGTCGTCGGACAGGCTTTACGTAAATCTCCGGACAGCAACTGGTATGCGATGTTCGCCGTCAGACATGCTTCGTCGTCGTCGGAAAGGCTTTACGTAAGCCAAGTTCATCATAGTTCTGCTTCCCCCGTCATTGCATCAACTGGAACGCGAAGAAGAAGGAAACAAATAATTTTCCTTTTTCTTTTTACAATGTAAAATGACCATTTTGCCCCTATGAATAAATTTTTAAAAAAAGTTTACGTTTTTTCGGCCAATTTCCACTGGTGATTTGGTCGGAGGACCAAATCTGCTAAAAAAAATAGTTAAAGGACTAAATTGTTAGTTTTAAAAGTCACGTGCCAAAATTAACACGCCCGCTATAGTCATAGGACCAAAAGTGTAATTTGCTCATACAATTTTGTACATTTTTGAATTTAAATTCTGTACCTCAGTATACATAAATGATATTTCGTAGACTTATGATGATGTGTATTATGTTTAGGAGTTTATGTGTATTTTGTTAGATAATAAATTGACTAACATAAACTGTAGTAACGAGTAACCTGTCTCGTAGTAGCGAGAGCTTCAGGATCATCCGAATATCCCTTGCCATAGTTGGGGTAAACCTGCAGAATAGTTTTGTCTACTACTTCTCTCCCGAATACCTGATGGTGCGTGTATACTGAACACGGGAGCTGTGGGAGGACTGTTTTGCTTAGAAGCCTACATGCCATCAACATAGGCAGATATTCAGTTAAAGCTTAACTGAATGTCTTGAGTTGCCTAACAGATTAAATGACTAACTGACTTAATCTTCTACTTGCACCACAACCACTTAATTTATACAATATTATATTAGGGAAAACACATACATATTCTACTATACAATTTTGTACATACGAAACAATGAATTTTTTTAAAAGAAATTAACGGCAGAAACGGAAAACGTGATTTCCAAAAAAAAAAAAAAAATAGTTAATGAATAAGAACAAAACGATATCTTTTTGGACCAGGGAGCACAATGAATTGTGCACCCTCAATAGTTATGTTGTGCAACCGTGTGCACCATGCATGGTGCACACGGTTGCAAAACGACGTCGTTTTGACTAAAAACGCGCATCCCATTTAAAAAAAAAATATCAGTTTCGATTCCCCTCAAAAGCATTATATTGTTCATTCATTGTGGATTTTTAGTTCATTCATTGTGGATATTTAATTCATTCGTTGTGGATATTTAGTTTATTCATTCTGAATTTTGTGTTATTCATTCACTGTAGATATATAGTTATGAATTTGTGGATATATAATTCAAATTATGCACAAAAAAAATACTCTTATCAAAAATTGAACCTGAATTTTTTTTTAAGTGAGATGCGCATTTTTAATCAAAACGACATCATTTTTGCAACAGTGTGCACCATACATGATGCACACGGTTGCGCAGCATAATTTGCGGTGCACCTGGTCCACGATATAATTTGCCATAATTTGCCACCCCAGGCCCCTGGAATCTACCTCCTTTGTGGGGCCCACACAGTGTTTGGGGTTGGCCATCTATACGTACAAACGTTTCATATTTCCACATTCTATAAGCGTTTCGAGTTTTATCGTTGAATCAATCGAAAGACAATCCGAATGCGGCGCTGGTAGATCGTTTATCGGTCGATCTACGCATCGATCCAATCGCTGCCTTTGTAGATTTTTTTTCCTTTTTTTTCATTCTTCTGCTTCTTTCTCCTCCTTCCTTGATTCCTTGGGTCTGCTATTCGGATCGGAGCTTCGTTCGCAATCGGATCGTAGCTTAGGTAAGGAAAGATGTTCTTGGTCGATTGGTTCTACGGAATTCTTGCATCCCTTGGGCTCTGGCAGAAGGAGGCCAAGATCTTGTTCTTGGGCCTCGACAATGCCGGGAAAACCACCTTGCTCCATATGTTGAAAGATGAGGTCTTTTCATTTCCCTTTCTAATTTCCCTTTTCTGTTTCTCTTCTTTGTAAATTCATGTTCGCTTTGATATTTTTATATCTGAACCTATGTCACTCGCTACTGTAGAATTTACACCATTTCCTGTGTGAAGAGCCTTATGGTGATTAGGTTACATCTTATTCAGTTTTAGGTTTAATTGGTTTGTTATAAATATTCGTTTGGGTTTTGATTATCTATTTGGATTGAAACACCAGCGACTTTTTCAGGAAATTTTGGATGTTTGGTTGTATATTTCCTTTAATTTGGTTGGAATAGGATTTAGTTATTTTTCTATTTCTCAAATTGTCTGATTTTGTAGAGAAGAGTGAAATGACCTTTTCCATTTCATATTTCCTATGGAAAAATAAATTCTTCAGCTATAATTTTTTTTTTATTTAATTTGTTTAGGGGATGAGATATTACTGATTCTTTGGTTATCATATCTTATTGGTTAATGGGTTTTTGAGTGATTAGATCTTTTTATTTTGAAATGTTGGAATTGGGCAGAGATTGGTTCAACATCAACCAACACAATACCCAACATCAGAGGAGCTGAGTATTGGCAAAATCAAGTTCAAAGCTTTTGACTTGGGAGGGCATCAGATCGCTCGCCGTGTTTGGAAAGACTATTATGCTAAGGTATTTTCTGTTTGTTTCCTTCTCGCTCCTGGTTTGCTAATAGCATGTTTGAATGATACTTCACCCCCTAGATTTGAACTGTGTCAGTTGTTTTTAGAGGAGATACTATTGTGTGTTTCTGTATGTGCTCATAATTGGTTATATATTTAAGGGAAAGAACAGCTTGAGAATAGAGAGGCAAAAGGGGAGAGAACAATTTGATCCATAAGATAGACCCAAAAAATATATTTATAGTTAGAATCGGTGTGTTTGATTGTGTTAATATCTTGTCTTTTGCAGTGTTCTAGTTTCTCACTTAGTATTTGACGTAATATGAAATCCCTGGAATTAAGCAGTTTGTAGCAATATATGATATATCTCGTGCCCCGTTTCATTTCAATAGTTGACATTGTGGAATCGTGTTACAATTGATTTTTTCTGCGTTTGACCTGCCAATTACCAAATGTATTTCCCCCATTAGTCAATAGTGCAAATTATCATTTCAATGTCTCATGCTTGATTGCTTGTTGTATATAATGTTCGTTTTATGTGAAGGTGGATGCGGTTGTTTATTTGGTGGATGCCTATGATAAAGAAAGATTTGCAGAATCGAAGAAAGAGTTGGATGCTCTCCTCTCTGATGAGTCCCTGGCCAATGTACCTTTTCTGATTTTGGGCAATAAGATCGACATCCCATATGCTGCTTCTGAAGATGAATTGCGTTACCACATGGGGTTGACAGGCATCACCACTGGCAAGGGAAAGGTGAACCTGGCAGATTCCAATGTTCGCCCTCTCGAGGTATTCATGTGCAGCATAGTCCGCAAGATGGGTTATGGAGAAGGCTTCAAATGGATGTCTCAATACATAAAGTAATTAGGCAGTGAGATTCTCTGTTATTCTGTTTTCTGTTCTGTTTTTCTTTACTGGACTTAGAGTTGGACACATGTCTGTTTGAAAGCGCTGCTGGATATCTCTCTCTTGTTCCGGTTTTTTGGTGAAATGACAGAACCAAATCTTCTTCTATTACTTCATCTGATCTGAAATTTGAGATGGATCTGATAATCTAATAGTGAAATTTAAAGCCATTTTGATAATAATGTCTTACCCATATCTCTATCTCAGTTTATTTGCCTTAACTTCTATACTCATTCTTGGTAAAAATGATTGGATTTAGCTTTCCCCATTATCTCCCTCACATCTTTTATCCTCTTTGTGCTTTCTCTATTGTTATGTTAAACATGACTGAAAATCCAAATCATATATTCCTAGTTAGGAATTATGATTACAGTGTTTTCTTGACCTTTAACAAGTTAAATGTTGAATTTTGATGTTGAATCATAAATGTTGAGAATGGCTTGCAAGTTGCCTATGTGTCTGTCTTGTTTAATGAGGAATCTCATGAGTTTTGCCTCTTTTGCTGGATTCTTTACTCTTTGGCCAAGCATGTTGTTGGGAATCTTTGTAAAACCTTAACCTAGGCTGGTGAGAATCAATTGCATGCTAAAGAGAGTAGTTCAAAAAGTCTAACGATTAAAGCAATGCGCATTTTTTAACGTATACAAGTGCACTTATAACCATTGACTCTTAAAGTGTCTCTTACAAAATTACAAATTCATTTGAGGATATATAAAGTGCATTCAAGAGATTGCACATGTAGATGTCAATGAATACATTTGATTGTGTTGCGAAGTGGATTCAAAATATGAGATAATACCCAAATGCAATTGCATTTTTTCTTGCTTCAAAGCCGTTAATAATGTTGTCCAAATCGGTGAATGTCACTGGTTTTTAATTTTCTCCCAAGTATTGGTTCTAACTTGAAGTTGTTGGTTAACATGTTAACTCTTTATACGTACTACCACCTAATTTCAATCCATCCCTCCTGATGAGCAACATCTAATTGGTAGCTAGATTCTATTTTGAATTAGTTGTGGGGTCAATCAATTCATGACACCCCATAGATACAGACGTTATGCCATGGAACCGTGCTCACCATTCATGGTGAACACGGTTCCAACGGTGTTAGTACACCGTTATCTTTTTATCTTTTTTTTTTTTCTTAATTAATTGCGTGACTTTTCTTCTTTATTTTCACATTTTGCGGTTTCACTTTAATTTGAGGTGAACAAAGATTTCGGACATTCATAAATTATGAATTCATGCCTGCACATTCATTTTGGAACCATGCCTACACATTCCCGTCCGAAATCACGGACATTCATAAATTATGAATCCATGCCTGCACATTCACTTTGGAACCATGCCTACACATTCACTTTGGAACCATGAGATTATGAATTTTCTGTTATAAGATTATGAATTTTCTGTTATGAGATTATGAATTTTCAGTTGTGAGATTATGAATTTTCTGTTATGCGATTATGAATTTTCTGTTATGAGATTATGAATTTTCATAAAATTCATAATCTCATAACAGAAAATTCATAATTTGATCAAACGGCGCCGTTAACTCCACATCCGCGAAATTTTTTTTTTTTTGCCTAAAAACGACGTCGTTTTGCCTTGTGTTTACCATTCTCCGTGAACACGATTCCATGGCATAATTTGTGCCATAGATAGATGCCATATCAAGATAGAAAAATATTGGATGTGAATTTAGGAGGAAAAGATTTTTTTTTTCAAATTAATAAAGTAAATAATTAATTAATTAATTAATTAAAATTAAATATAAATAAATAATTTAAATTAATGTCCAACATAAAGTAAATGTGTTTATCAAATTTGAAAAATTACAACTAAAAAATGAATTTGATAAAATGATTTGTAAATAATATTGAAAACTCGCATCCAAACTGTTGGTGGATTTAAAAAATCTCATTCACATCCACATCTACTAGGAGTAAAGACCCAATCCAATCCAATCCACTAATGGTGGATTGGATGCGGATAGGATGACATATATTAAATTTAAAAATAAAATAAATTATAATACAAAATTTCAAGCATTCAAAAAATAAAACCTTAACCTAGGCTGGTGAGAATCAATTGCATGCTAAAGAGAGTAGTTCAAAAAGTCTAACGATTAAAGCAATGCGCATTTTTTAACGTATACAAGTGCACTTATAACCATTGACTCTAAAAGTGTCTCTTACAAAATTAAAAATGCATTTGATGGTATGTAAAGTGCATTCAAGAGATTGCACATGTAGATATAAATGAATACATTTGATTGTGTTGCGAAGTGCATTCAAAATATGAGATAATACCAAGAAGCAGGGACGGATCCAAAAAAAAATTTCCAGCCTAAGAAACATAGTTATAAATATTGTTGGTATGAGCAAAAAATAAAACACATCGAAACTTTATAAAAAATATTCATAACGAAATACGAAACATAATTAATTTGATAAATAATTTAAATAAAAAGCACATTATAAATTACGCATCTCATCATTATTAATATAAAAGAATGTTATATGCACACACACACACACACACACACACACACACACACATATATATATATATATATATGGAAAAGTTCAAATGCGGCGATGTCCTTAGGTGCGGCGGTGCGGCGGAATTTCAGGATACACCAACAATGTTAACAACATGCACCAACAGTGTAAGGGAAACACACCACAATGAAATGCAAGAAAATACTAAAAAAATACACAACATACCCAAAAAAAATACACCATATAACTCACCACCCCCAATGGTATATTTTCGAACACTGTATGGTGTTTTAATCACACCAAATGGTGTGTTTTTGGTGATGCGTACCTAATTTGTGTGTGTTTTTATGGTGCATTTTTCTAACGTTGATGATGTATATTTATTGAACTATTGGTGACGCTGCACCTAAGGACATCGCCGCACTTAAACTTTACTATATATATACTAGTATTGTCCCGTGCGATGCACGGACTAAATATTAAAGATTTGTTTGTAATGTTAACAGAATAGGTAAAAAAATGTTTTTAATAATGGTATTTGAAGTACAGAAGAAGAAAACATGAACCATAATTTAATTGTTTAAAATTACATTTTTATTAAGTATATGACAAAATAATTATGATATTGTATTTACAATATTTAATTTAATAATTGAAAATAGTATGATACAAAAAGTTACTATTATTAATCGCAGTTAACGGTATACATATTTGATCTTGAGTATGTCTACTCCTAGTATGCTACCCATGCGATGCACGGAATGAATATTGGACAACATTATAATAATATTATTTATTAAAAAAATACATAACCTAATATCAACATAGTTGCAATTCATATATATATATATATATATATATATATATATATATATATATATATATATATATATATATATATATATTACAATATAATAACAATAACACTAATAATAATAATAATAATAATAATAATCCTTTATATAATAAAGCTATATGGTTTGGGAAATATTTAATGTTACAATTAATGCAACAACATCCTTTATTAACAAAAAAAAAAAAAAAACACAACATTTAAAAAATAAAATAGCTATATATTATATAATCATATAAAAAATATACTTTTGAAAAATAAAATAGCTATATATTATATAATCATATAAAAAAACGTGTTCAATTAGAGTTTAAATTTACACCTACAAAATTTGAAATTTGCTTTCCAAATGTAATTATCTTAGTTATTATTCGTATTGTGAAAATTATAATATATATGAAATACAATTAAGAATAAATCAATGTAATTATGTAAATTCTCTCTATAAATTTATTTGAATATGCACATAATTAGAGATTATATTAACCATACAAAATTATAATTTTAATTTTAATTGTAATTTTGTATTCTATAAAAATAATAAATACTTGACCAATGGAAGCTAAAAAATATTATTATATTAAATAATTTAAAATATTTTAGCTTTTCTATTTTTTATTTATATTTATAATAACATAATTTTTTTTCCCGTGCATTGCGCGGGTGAATTACTAGTAATAATAATAACAATAAAATAATTATAATAATTAATAATATTAATAACATTAATTAATAAGTAAATATATATATATATATATATATATATATATATATATATATATATATATCTACACACACACACACACACACACACACACACACACACACACACCATATGGTCTTGTGAGAATTAAATGTTGTTAATACCAACATTTAATTTTCACAAGACCATATGGCTTTATTATAATTAAGATTTGTGTGTGTGTGTGTGTGAAAATGTGTTGATGCCAAGACCCTGACCTTATTATAACAAAACACATCTTTTGCCAACTAATCTAACTCACTTCTCGTTAACATTCATCTATTTTTTATACTAATACTACAATATGTACTATATATATATATATATATATATATATATATATATATATATATATATATATATATATATACATATATACATATAATGGTTATATATGAGGTGCGAGTGGTGGTGACAGATTTTCATTAAATAAATCCGCATCCCATCCATTTTAGGTGGATGCGGATTGTGTAAGAGCGGATTTGACAAATCCTTGTTCATCCCTAAATAGTACAATATAAATATAAATATGTACAACCAAATATCACTATAGTTTTGTATAAAGATTGGATCTATTACATGGACTCCCTATTTCCATTTTTCACTTTTACTACCTACAAAAGATGATAAGTTATATTCATCCCGTGAGTTCTAAAAAATGTCAACATCAAAATGTTGAGAGAGAGAGAGGGAGGGAGAGAGAGAGAGAGAGAGAGAGAGAGAGTAAAAGTTGAGAGTAGAATTTAAAAGTAGTAGTATTTTCCTTGTATGAATGTTAATAAACATGATATGTTAGTTGCCAAGCACCTTATGCCAAATTGGCACCTCTGTAGCTCTCATTGAGGGAATGTCAAGATTGAACCCCAATGACAGGGTATTGACTCTTTAGCTTACAACTGAGAGAGAAAGTATATTGAACATATACTACACGTAATAAAGTTGATCGTACTTAAAAACATGATATGTTAGTTTATTGGTATAAATGTCTTAAAATCATAAATTTGTGATTTTAAGACATCACAATTTAGTATTTATTCTCCTCACATATTCCTTGAGCTTCACCCAAAACTCACATTCCGA